CCGACGGCGTGGTTCGCTGTCATAAGAGCGAACCGCAAAGCTGGTTGGGTTGCCGGGATCTTCACGTCGGACAGAAACACGAGGCAGAAAGGCAGCCAGCTGATGGAAGTCTTCACGTTTCCAGGAATCAGTGGGGTGGTCGTGACAGTTGGCACAACTCATCTGAATCCCCAGAAAGATGCGGGAAATCTCGGCAGCCAGTTCTTCCGGCTCTCCAGTGTGGGCGAAGATGAGTCCCGTTTCGCCAGTTTCTCTGACCGAGCCGGTCGCTGTAATCAATTCACGAGCAATTTCATCCCAAGGTCGGTTCTCATTGAATTGATCGACAAGCCACTTTTCAAAGGCAGGCACAACGAGTCTTGACCGTTGATCAGTCGCACGTGACATCACAACATCGCGCCAATAACTTCCCCATAGCTCTCCAAATTCATGCCCAGAAAGTAATTCGTTGATCTTCCTGGATCGTTTGTCTGGATCTCCACTTAAGCCGAAGAGAGTTGTTTCCTTGGGAGAAGGAACCACCCCAGCCAAATCAAGGTGCGCTCGTCGAAGAAAGTCCTCATCATTTGTGATGGAAGCAGGAGCGACACCCTCTTTTTCCAGAAGCTCATTCAGCAGCGAATCAACTTGCCGAGCCATCTCCCTGGCAGAGGGGGCACGCTCCTGTGAAGAACGGTTCTGACCAAAAGCTGTTTGAGAGAAAAGGATTACGCAGATAAGCGTGAGTTCACAAAAACGCATCGGGAAACTCCAGTGTAAAAAACTTTGGAGCGAAAGAACCGCTCAGCCACCAAAGAATCTAACCCCGGAAGGACTCGAATAGTTTCGGTAAGATTGTGAAAACGAGAGAGACTGACAACAACTCTGGGTCTCATGATATGTAGAGAACGCGGATTCCCGCGGATGTAGCGGATACACACGGATAAAAGATGAATATAGATGACCAATGAGAAGAGCTCAACAATTCTACTTTGGGAAGGTTTTTAACGCAAAGACGCAATGACGCCAGGATAGGAGGGCAGGTGGAGAAGGCTTGACTTTGCACTATTGCGTCCTGGCGACTTGGCGTTTTTAATTCTTGAATCGATTCCCTCAGGCACATTCTTTCAGGTTTCTGAGCAACAATATCGAGCCATTTCAGCCGATTTCTGTCCAATAGTTATTTAGGAGCAGTATTAGCTTTACTGAACCTCTTTAACGCGCAAGTTGCGAAACCGCACGACTGTTTTGTGCCCCAGTAAGCCGATGTGTCCCTTCTTGCGAAGCAATCCAGGATGTTCTCGGTCATCCAGGGCACCATTCTTCACTGCTTCGAGGACGTCACCATCAACAATGATTTTGCCATTCAAAATCACAGTGACTCGGGAACCGATACAGCGAATCTCCTGTTGATTCCATTCACCCAGAGGTTTTAATTGCCCCTGTCGAGCGGGGATGACACCATAGACCGATCCGTGATACTGGTAAGGCTTCAATTTTCGATACTTGGCATCTTTTTCATCGAGTATCTGAATTTCCATCCCTTGAGTTGCTGCGTGAGCATTGATTGGGACCCGCAGACCGATTCCGTTGTTCGCTGCGGGTGTAAGTTGAAACTCAAAACGCAGGATGAAGTCGCTGTACTCTTTTTCAGTGACCATGTTGCCACCCGCCCCAGGCAGGGAGACAATCATGCCGTCTTGAGCGCGATATGATTCCTTCTTGCCGATCCAGCCATCTAACGTCTTTCCATTAAAAATAGGAACGAAACCAGCTTCATCAGTCGAATCAGCAGCAGAGACGGTCGAAGCCTGAATCAATCCGGCAAGTAGGAGAAAGGCAAATCGGGAAACTCGAAACATGGGATCGCTTTCAATAAATTTACGATTTTGTGAATGATTTGATGTATCTGATGAGACGGTGCTTTTCTGCTGGTGTCAAGCTAAGTTGATAGTCGCCGATCACTCCGTGATCGTGCGTCAATGGTGTTTGAACGCCCAACCGTAAGGAGGCTAGATTGGCGGTGTGATCTGCCACGAAAACAGACTGGATTCAAAGTGAAGTTACCTCTTAAACTACGGTTTCAAGAACATTTATGATGATAACCAAAGAGCCATTCTCATGAGAGTCTTAGTCGCCAATCCCCGTGGATTTTGTGCTGGCGTCAACATGGCCATCGACTGTCTGGAGGAGTGCGTGAAAGCATTCGGCCCTGACATCTATGTCTACCATGAAATTGTCCACAACAAATATGTGGTCGAGAAATTCACTCAGCAGGGAGTGACCTTTGTTGAGACACTGGCAGAAGTTCCGAGCGGCTCCATTCTCCTGTACAGCGCCCATGGAGTTTCTCCTGCCATCAGACAGGAAGCGAGAGAACGTGACCTGCGGACCATTGATGCGACGTGTCCCCTGGTGACGAAGGTTCATCTCGAAGCGGTCAAATACGCAAAAGACCATTACAACATCATTCTGATTGGTCACGAAGGCCATGATGAAGTGATCGGCACGATGGGTGAGGCTCCTGAGAGCATCACACTCGTCGAAACACCAGAAGATGTCGATCAATTGACCTTCACGCAAGACCAGAGACTGGCTTACCTGACGCAGACGACTCTCAGTGTCGAAGAAGCAGGACAAGTCATCGAGCGTTTGAAAGAGAAGTACCCGAAGATCGAATCTCCCCCGAAAGAAGACATCTGCTACGCGACCACGAATCGACAGCATGCCGTCAAAGAATTAATCCAACAGGCGGAGTTGTTACTTGTTCTAGGAAGCCAAAACAGTTCGAACAGCAAACGGCTCATGGAAATCGGTCTCACAGAAGGCCGAGCGGCCCATCTGATCGATGGCAAACATGAAATGCAACCAGAATGGTTCGATGGAGTCGAAACGGTTCTCGTCACCGCCGGAGCGAGTGCGCCTGAAATCGTTGTCCAGGAATGTCTCCAGCATCTCGAAGAGACATATGGAGCCACAATTGAAGAAGTCACAACTCGCGAAGAACATGTCACTTTTCCTTTGCCTAAGGAACTGCGACAGTTACAGTCTATGCAATCGTGAACCAAGCGTGTTTACGAACTTTGATATTCTGGGGAGCAGAGTAAGCTGGCTCCCTTTTGAGTTGTCACTTAATTAGGAATGACCTGGAAATGACTGCCTCTTTTCATTCAACGCCTATTTGTGGCAATAATCTCGTCTCGTAATAGAAGTTGGTAGTGGAGAGTTGGTAGTTGGTAGGATTTTGACAAGTTCACCATCGCATGATATGAATCAATTCCTATCCACTAACTGCTACCCACTACCCACTTCAGGAACAATTGAGACGGTTGAGACTCGACCAACCTGAACATGAAATTGGACTGTTATTGTTCGAACGGTCCTTAGATGAATAGATCGAACCGAATATGGCTCTCTTTGGAAAACTAAAGTCGGCGCTGAGGAAGACAAAAGATGTCCTGCGAACGGATGTGCGTGACCTCTTCAAAGCAGGAGAAATTCTTGACGAAGCGAAATTAGAAGAGTTTCATCGCGGACTCATCACAACAGACATGGGCGTCGATGCTGCCGGCGAGGTGGTCGATTCGCTACGCAAAGAGTTTGGCGGACGGACAGTCGATCCCAGTGCCATCTGGGAGAATGTGAAGCAGACACTCAAAGAGATTCTCAAGGGTGATGGCTCAACCAAATGGGACAAAGAGAATCCGCTCTCCCCACTGAACATGGCAGACTCCGGCCCGACCGTGATTCTGGTCTCTGGGGTCAATGGTGTTGGGAAAACGACTTCTATCGCCAAGCTGGCGAACTTTCTGAAGAAGGCCAATCAGAATGTTGTCCTCGCTGCGGGAGATACCTTTCGCGCAGCGGCTGTAGAACAGCTAACAATGTGGAGCGAGCGGATCGGTTGCGAAATCGTCCGCAAGCCAGAAGGCTCCGACCCCGCCAGCGTCGCATTTGCTGGCTGTGATCAGGCAGTGAACTCAAATGCCGATGTTGCTCTGATCGATACAGCAGGACGTTTGCAGACCCAACAAAACCTGATGGCTGAGCTAGAAAAAATCCACCGCGTGATCGGCAAACGCATCCCCGATGCTCCGCATGAAAGCCTGTTGGTCCTCGATGCAACAACTGGGCAGAACGGGATTTCTCAAGCAACTAAATTCTCCGAAGCTGCCAAGTGCACCGGGATCGTGCTGACGAAACTCGATGGCACAGCCAAGGGAGGCGTTGTGGTTGCGATTCGTAAGAAGATGGGAATTCCTGTGAAATATATCGGAGTCGGCGAACAGATCGACGACCTGCAACTCTTCTCACCGGATGATTTTGTTGAAGCGCTATTTGATGATGTCGATTGATGTTCAAAGTTGGTAGTGGATAGTTGTTAGTTGGTAGGAATTTAGTAATAAGAACTGGCCGGAATGAACTTAGTATAAATCCCAACATTTAAAAGATTGTTATTTGATGAACGCTACAAGCATGATGAATCCAATTGGAGAACGCGGATTATCGCGGATGCGGCGGAGCTCCGCTGATGAATCATGATTCAATGTGGTTAATTGGACTTTCTAACAAGGCTAAATATGCGGAACTCTTTAAATCGATTCCGTTCAGTGTGGAATTTGACTCTGTGTCGAGGTGATAAGATCGAATAAAAAATCCGTGAGAATCCGCCGCATCCGCGTCGATCCGCGTTAATAAACTGATGCAGAATCAACGAAAAAGGTAGTTCAAAATACATGATCCAGAGTGTACTCCAACGTGAGAATGATTCGATGCTTGTTTCATGGGACGAGTACTTACCGCATCAGCTGGAATGCTGGGCTCCCTGCGGGAACGTCCGTTTATCCTGAACCGTAGGCTGACGTCAGCTGCTAATAAAAGTTCACAAAATTATTGATGGATGCTATACGAACAACTTCCTAACCACTATCTGCTACCCACTACCCACTTAGTACAATTTTGGTCAAGAATTACCGGATCAATCCTCAAGCGTACATCGCTGACCGTCGTGCGAGAGATCAATGGCACACGCATATACACCTGGCCTGCAAATTAAAGATGAGATTCGCTATCGCGTCTCGCGGCAGTTGCCGATTAGCGGCGATGTTCTTGTGAGCGTTGGGGATCAGGTCTCAGCAGATCAGGTTATTGCCCGTTCCGAACAACCGGGGAACATTTATCCCGTCAATCTGGCCAACCAGCTAGGGATCACTGCGGGGGATGTCCCGCAGGCGATGAGTCATCAAATCGGCGATTTCGTCAACAAAGGCGATCAACTGGCGATGTCCAACGGCATTTTTGGTTTCTTTCGCAGCAGCTACAAATCGCCAGCGACCGGCACCATTGAATCTATCTCGAATGTGACAGGTCAGGTGATCATTCGCGGTACACCGATACCGATTGAAGTGGATGCTTTCGTCACAGGCAGAGTTGAGGAAGTATTACCGGGACAGGGAGCCGTCATCGAGACCTCCGCTGCCTTTCTACAAGGGATCTTTGGGATCGGAGGCGAAACCCGCGGACCTTTGCAGATTCTGACCACCAGTCCTGATCAGGACCTGACACCAGACTTACTCAATGAGAGTCATTCCGGAGCCGTTGTCGTTGGAGGTCGTAGATTGTTAGGTGAAACAGTCGAGCGGGCTCGGGAGCTCGGTGTCGCAGGCTTGATCGGCGGGGGGATCGATGATCAGGATTTGAAAGAGATCCTCGGTTATGACTTGGGAGTTGCCATTACAGGCTCGGAAGAGATCGGAGTCACGTTGATCATTACCGAAGGCTTCGGGGAAATTGCGATGGCTGGCCGCACCTTCGAGTTACTGCAATCGCTGGCCGGCCAGCAAGCATCGATCAACGGAGCGACACAAATTCGAGCAGGTGTTTTACGGCCGGAAATTGTCGTTCCTAAAGCATCGGCAACCTCTCTTGATGAAACGGCACAGCGAGTCGGTGGTGGAATTCTGGAAATCGGAGCCCACGTCCGCCTGATCCGCGATCCCTACTTCGGAGTCCTCGGAACGGTCGCTGCTCTCCCAACGGAACCGCATGTGTTAGAATCGGGATCAAAGGCGCGTATTTTGGAAGTTGATTGCCAGTCTGGAGAACGCGTTATTGTCCCCAGGGCGAATGTTGAATTAGTTGGAGATGATTCATGAATAGATGCATTCGACTCTGCTTGATGCTTCTGCTTTTCTTCAACTTAAGCCTGCTGGTATCGGCAGCCCCTCCATCTCCAGCGGGAATCACTGCCAAAGACCATCCAATGGACGACGGCACAAACATTGACGTCGTGGTAGAACTGACTGATTCTGCAATCGCACTGCTGTCAAAAACAGACCAGGAACAGCCACCCGTCGAGTATGTGATTGAAAAATCAGCGGAAGCAAACGGTCTCTATCGAGAAGTCGCGAAGGTCGTTCTATCAAAGAAACAGTTAGCTCAAGGAGTGATCAAAGTCACCAGCGACAAAAACATTCCGGGAGAGAAGTACTGGTTTCGCGCATATGCCCAACAGAAGGTTGAGGGTGTCGTTGCCAAGTCCTCTTACGCGAGGTTACCCGCCACGGAACCTGCCATCGGGCGATTGGATTTCTTCGATGGCGGTCGTCTCTGGTTGGCGATCATCTCGCTGATGGTCTGCGGGTCAGTGGTGACGTTTATCTATATGGCCAGGAGTGGTCGCAAGTTGAAAGTGCGTCCCATCGCCGGTTTGGAAGCGATTGAGGAAGCAGTGGGTCGAGCGACAGAAATGGGACGAGCCTGCCTGTTTGTTCCCGGCATTCAGGATATGAATGACATCCAGACGATCGCTGGCCTGACGATTCTTTCTCGCGTTGCAGAACAGGCAGCGGAGTACGATTGTGAACTCGAAACTCCAACCTCAAAGTCTCTGGTGATGACAGCAGCCCGCGAGACCGTGGCCACTGCCTTTCTCAAAGCAGGTCGCCCAGATGCCTACAATGAAGACCTGATTTACTATGTGACGGATGAACAGTTCGCCTATGTTTCTTTTCTAACGGGAAAAATGGTTCGAGAGAAACCGGCAGCCTGTTTCTATCTGGGAGCTTTCTTCGCAGAGTCACTGATTCTGGCTGAAACGGGAAATGCCATCGGGGCCATTCAAGTTGCCGGAACAGCTCAACCGGCCCAGTTACCCTTCTTCGTTGCAGCCTGTGATTACACGCTCATTGGTGAAGAATTCTTTGCAGCGAGTGCTTACCTCTCTGGGGACCCTGATCAATTGGGCAGCCTGAAAGGTCAAGACGTCGGCAAAATCATCGTCGGCGGTCTCATCCTCATCGGGGTGGGCCTGGTCACCTTAATGGAATTCACCAACTCCCCAGCTATCGCCTCCGCAGCAGATTACCTGCTGAACACCATTCTGCAGGCTGCGTGACTCTCTGTTTAAGTATGAATGTCGTCAGCAGAAATGTATGTGCTTTCTCAAGTAGCTGTAACGAATAGTTTGTTCAGTTTTGAGATGATTAACTAGGCATATCCGTAGATGTCTGGATTTCGCTATTGCTTCAATTTGGGTATTGAGGTAAGAGCCATTCATCATGAGTGCTCTGTCCCGATCATTGCTGATTATTATTTGTTTGACGTTTTCTAGTTGTCAGACAACCGACTCGGGTGACACCACTGTCGATCTCAATCCGGTCGTCGGTCTCATCGGAATGGCGGTCGATGGTGACGACAAAGATGATTACGAACACTTCTTTGAAAATGATGACGATTGTGAATGCCGAGACAAAAGCAACAGTGGAATCAGAATCAGCTTTGATTGAATCTGTTTCGGCGAAAGCAATCAGCATTGATAAAAATGAATGACCGCAGCGTACGCTGATAAATGATTTGCCAAACATCTATTAGCCGCTGGGCGTTAGCCCACGGTTCTGAGTAACCGGACGCTAACGCGTTCCGGCTGATGTAGTACGTTAATTCTGAGCAATTCCCAGCATGCGGTTTAGTGAATCTGCTGTTTGATAGATCAGTGCTTCCGGATAATGGCTCCAGGGGCGGAAGTATTCGAAGGTCAGGTAGCCTTTGTACCCGGTGTCATCAAAGGCCTCGATCACTGCAGGCCAGTCGGTGGTGCCATCCAGTAACGGACGGAATGATTCGAGGGAATAATCGGTGCCCTCTTTAGTAAACTCTTTGAGATGGACGTTACGAATGCGCGGTCCCAGATAATCAATCCAGTGTTCTGGATACTGAAACATCATGATATTGCCGCTGTCAAAGTGGACATTCACATATTCGCTGTCGAAATGATCAACGAAGTCCGCCATTTCCATGGGAGTCATCAGATAACCATTGAAGAAAATATTCTCAATGTTCAGGCTGACGCCAAGTTTCTCTGCTTTAGGCAGAAGTCTTTTGACTGCCTCTTTGGCTCGTTGATCACAGAGTGAATTCGAGACGGGGGGATAGTCGTCTCTCCAGGGAATGTGAACGGAGCCAGGCACCACCAAGAGATTTGATGTCCCCAGCAGGTGGGCTGCTTCCGTCATTTTCCCAGCGAGTTCAAACCCACGGGCTCGCCTGGCTTCATCGTGAGCCGTCAGCGGATAGGGCCAGAATAGGAATGAACAGAGCCCACTAATCTCAATGCCAATCTCGTCTGCCATACGACGGATCGCTGTCAGTTCTTTTTCACCCGCTTTGGGAGAGAGGTCGCTCTCCAGGTCGTAATTGAGTTCAATTCCATCGAAACCGGCATTTTTTGCCAGTTGCAGGCAGTCCCGCAACGACATCTTGTCAGGGTACGGAAAAGCCCAGAGGTTGATGGACTTCTTCATGGAATATTGGCGAGATGATCTCGCCAGCGGATTCGGCTTAACTGCTTCTTTGGCCGAAGAAGTCGAGTTGGCTAGTAGCGAAGCGGCGCCCGCTGAGAGTGTGGCAGCCAGCGCACTGCGGCGACTGAATTTGCGAGAAGTATCCAAAGGATAGGGACCAGTCATTATGAACTCCTGGTTTGGGCAAAAGCACAAGCATACTCGATTGATGAATGCTCATTGTCCTACAGTTGTTCCGGACTGTCTACTATGAGTGATCACTTCTGTTGATTCTCAATTTTTAGTTCTGCCTGTCAGGCAGAACTGTGATCGCTGGCTTTGGTATTCCGAAGTTTAGCTCCGTCCATGTTTGAGACGGTTTCGGCGTTGGCTCAAGCGAGTGAAGAGTAACGCAAATCGCTCATGAGATTCATCCTGATTTTTGTCACAAGCGAGATTACTGTCATCATGGAAGGGTTCATCCAATCGATTTGAGTCTGCCTCTTCGTTGTGAATCAATTCCGGCTCGACGACATCAAGTCGATGATGACCGCTGCCAGGCTCATTAAGATGCTTCTCTACCAAGTTGAGCCTCGATTGATCAACGGCAGCGCTGATTTCCTCTCTCAGAGATTGGATCGCATCCAGAACTTCTACTTCCTCCTCTGCCGATTCTGTCTCGCAGGCACCTGGCGGTTCAGAGCTAGTTTCGTTGATTGCTGTCCGATCGTTTGGTGCGTCTTCAGTTGCGTTTTCAGACGGTAAGCTTGGGAGTTCCTTTTTTCGATCAAGAGCAGCGTATTTGTCGTAGACGGGTTCACCATCGGGAGTGTTCGACAATGAGGTGTGAGCACTTTGGTTGTGTTGAATCGATTCATTAATCGTTTGTGACTCGTCCCGTTCCGTTTCTACTGATACCTGGTCAACATCAGGCAGATCAGCACCGACTTCGATGACGCTGTATTCAATTGTTTCTTCCGTTTGAGTTTCGCACTCTTCAACGGGCTCATGGAAGTCCGTAATCTCGTCATCTCCGATGCGGAAGACAACAGGCTTTTCTTCGTACTCTTCAGACAAAGTTTCTGTGTCGAGATTCTCAGTAATCACTTCTTCAGCGATCTGTTTAGAGTTCTCCACAACAGGTTCGGGTTCCAACTCCGGAGCCTCAGTCAGAGTTGGTTCCAGAGACAACTCGTTCCAGTGCAGTGGGAGTTCTTTCAGATCGTCCAGAGCTGCCAGCACGATGTTGCGAGTGACCGGTTTTTGTTCTTCTGCAAAGGCGAGCAAGAAGCTGTGGTCAGCTAACTGACAAAGGCACCGGGGATTGCCGTCGCTGGCCCGACAGATTGCTTCCAGGGAGTCTTCCGTCAACAGTTCTGAAATGTCCTTGGCACCGGCTAGACGCAGTCGTTCTCGAACCAATGTCGCTGAATCTTCGAGAGAGAGTGGTTGTAGAGTGACTTGACAGCCAATGCGTTGATGGATGGCAGACATCGCTGGGTCCGCCAGCTTTTCTTCCAGTTCGAATTGACCACTCAAGACCAGTGAGATCAAAGCCGTTCCATGGGGGGCATAATCTGTGAGCGTACGCAATTCCTCAAAGAGCCGAGCGTTCAGCAGGTGTGCTTCATCCACAATGATCAGCAGGCGGCGTTCTTCTTTGTCAATTGCTCGCGCTGCCTCCAGGATTTTCAGCCTGGCTTCCTGCTCAGTCAGCCCTTCGTAGTGGATTCCAAATTCATACAGAATGGCCTGTAGCAAGGCACGTCTGGTACTGAAGGCGGACGTACTCAGATAGATCGTCTGAAATTGAGTTGCGGCCGTTTCTGCCACTTGTTTACAGAGAAGAGTCTTCCCCAGACCGGGCGAGGAGGTGATCACACCAATGCCGCGAGACTGCACAATGCAGATCAACAAGTCGTCCATCACTTCCTGCATTGCTTCCAGTGCAACGAATGAGTTGGTCGCTGGAACAGCAGAGAAAGGACGTGTTGTGAGTCCGAAGAAACCTTCGTACACGGAGACACCTCTTCCATGAGTGGTCTAAGTGGCAATGGAGATTGAGCCTGGCAAATAGAGACTCTTCCAGATGAATCGAACTGGAGCGACCGTTCGGTTCAGCAAAATGAGGAGGGTGCTTATAACCGATCTAAACGGAATTACGAAGGTCTGATCAGGTAATCTGTAACGATTCCGAAGTGTCGAGTGATGTGCATTCTTTGATGCGACCGGTTCCATAGCTCGATGCCGCCAGCAAGGCGATCGCTGGCACGATGGGTGCCCGCATGCGAACGTTGCTCCAATAGACAAGATGGACCAGCGTGAAAGAAACGACGAGCAATCCGACTGCCAACCAACGCTGGTCTTGATAAGACTTTTTACACAACAGCAGAACCACGGCAGCCAGCAGCATCAGCCAGATAGAAACATACCAGATTGCGACCAAAGCCATCGCCAGCCGGGGTATATTGTTTGCCGCTGGTCCACTGGGAGTGATATTCCAGAAACGGATGAATCTCAGTAGTGACGCCTTTACGAAGGAGACAGGGTTATCACTGATCGTATGCTTGGCCCGCTGTGCCATCCAACGGTCACGTTCAACTTCTGAAGTGAGTCCGAGTTCGTCTATCTTGTTGTTTATTTCATTAGCCCAGACTGCCTGGCCGGGCCCTGTTGTTCCATCCCATACGGTTCCGAACGGTTGATCGACGACCTCACGATAAAATGCTTCGTTGTTGCCCAGTAAAATGGTGTAACCCCCGTGAGTGGTCATCAGGACCGGTTCTCCCAGGGCAGCAAGATTTCTGATGAACCAGGGAGAAACCACAACAGCTGTGCCAATGAGCGATATGCTCAATTTTGCCAACAGGGGTTTGATGCCACCTGATTTTTGAAAGAAAGTGCGACCTGTCAAAACAAGCGCGTAGAGAATGCCGAATGCCCAAAAGGTTGGTCGCGTCAGAACACACAGCCCAAAGACCATGCCAGTCAGCAGATGGTCTTTGCCACTCTTGATCGGTCGTGAGACTTGCCAAATCAGCAACGCCGAAACAAATGAACAGACGGTCTCTGTCATCGAATAAGAAGCGTAACGAATCAGAAGAGGATCGCAGCTATAAATCAGCGATGCAGCCAGCTGGCTCGACTTCGATAACCCGAGATGGGCAGCTGTGCGGTAAATAAGAACAATGCTACCAGCCGCAGCCAGCAAGTTCAGTAATCCTCGTGCCCAGGCTAAGTTTGTGCTCGAAATGGGCGCAATCAGCAAGGGATAAAGCGGAGGACGAAACGCCGTTGCTTTTGTTGAATCAGGGATTGAATAGCCACGTCCGGCAGCGATGTTCTGGGCAATTCCGATATAGGAATCAGGATCGCTGTTCAGTTCGTCATAGCGAACGAGAATGACCCCTGCACGAAGCAATAAACTGAACAGAATAATACTGAGCAGTAGTTTACGATCAGACAATAGAAGGTTCGCTGACAGTTGCTGAACTCATAGGTTGGCGACGGGCGGATACTCCACTTTCCATTGAGAAGTTCGGTGGAGCAACCTGCGGAAAACGCAAAGTGAATTTTGTCCCACGTCCTACCGCACTTTCAACCCGAATCCGTCCATTGTGGGCTTCCATGACCTCTTTGCACATGGCCAACCCGAGTCCGGTTCCACCTTGACCGTTTTTGTCGGCTTCCTTCGTAGTGAAGAATCGATCAAAAATATGGGGCAGCACATCTTGGGGAATCCCTGTTCCCTGATCCTCAACGGCAATTTCTGCCATGCCGTCCTGACTTGACTCGCTCACAATGATCTTCATCGTTCGCCCCGGTTCCATCGCCTGTCGGGCATTGACGATCAGGTTGAGAAGCACCTGCTGAATTTGTCCGGCATTCACGGAAGCATACGGCTGTGAGTTGATGGAGAGTTCCAGTCCGATGCGGTGAACCTTGAGGTCCTTGTCAACAAGGACCAGTAGATCCTGCAAAAGAGTTGCCAGATTATGTGAATCACGTCGATTTGCACTCGAACGTGCATAAGACAACATGCCTGTCGTGATTTTGGCGGCTCTTTGGCTGGCAGTCAGAATTTTGTCGAAGGCCTTGGCCTTGGCATCAGCATCCTTTTGCCGCATCCCCAGCTTGGCATAGTTGATAATCGTCGTCAGGATGTTGTTGAATTCGTGAGCAATCGAAGAACTCAACTCTCCCAGCGAACTGAATTTCTGTGCCACCAGCAGTTGTCGCTGTAATTCTTGTAAACGCTGCTCAAGTCGTTCGAGTTCGGATTGAGAATTCTCCAGTTGCGACAACGTAGCACCATGTTTGTGAATGTGAAGGGGTCGATAATAGCAGCATCGACAGCCCCATTTCGGGACTTCATTCACTTCGTTAAGAGAAGTTCAACTCGCTGGTGTTTCGGGACCGGTCGAACTTGTCTGGCAAACTGGGGAAGTTAAGAGGCTCAACAGTCCAGGCGAGAGAGCGGGCTTACTTTACCTGGATTCACTACTCGACGTATCCAGAAATTTCCTGTATCTCTTCCCGTTTGATTCCTTTTTCAAGCAAAGCGGCATGTAAGTCAGCCAGTGCTCCCTCTTGCGCATTTTTCTCAAAGAGGATTTTCAATTTCACACCCTGTGCGCCACCTGTCGCTTTACTGACCTGGCGAACGACTTCGCTGAGGGGCAGATCGAGTCCAGAGAGTGGATCATCTGCTGATGTCATGCGATAGAGATCATTGTGAATCACAATTGTCACAACGTCTTTCTCGCCACCTTCCTGATTGGGAGTCACGGTTGTCGTTGAATTGAGATCCCCGCTAGCTGAGACATCACTCAAGTCTGCTTGAATTGGTGAATCATCATCAGAGTCGGTCTTGGCATCGACTTGCTCGCCGTCTCCAGTTTTGCCCAAGCCAAATGTGCCGAGATCGAAAAGCTGTCCGAGCATAAAACCTAAGGCGAGGATCACGACGGCAAATCCGCCAGCGGTACGTTTTTTCATGAGGCACTCCGATTGCTGTCGGATGAAGTTGGAAGGAAACTCGAGCGCGTCACTGAGGATACACGGAACTGAGCTTATTGTTCAATTCGAAAACCAAGTTCAGCATAATCGTATCTGGTCCTGCCTCCGCTTTCAAAATTGAGTCGCAACATCACTTGCGGAAGAGTTTCCCGAACTCCCTGAACAGCCCAGCGTTGCGATGCTCTTTCGTAGGTCAGCAGTGCAATCACAAGACTTTTCGGTTCTGGCAACGTGCGAGCCAGTTTGGTGAACTGATCGACAAAGTCTTCCTGGACAAACTCTTTCGAGATGTCGAGCGGAATTTGCAGTTTGAGCGTCTTCTCTCCGCTCGTCAGGGTCAGGAAATTGTTCGGTGTGACGTGGACATCCCAGATATCGCACCGCTTGCGAATTTCTTCATAAGTCAACAAGTGAGAGACAACACGTCCTGACTGTTCGACAGCGATCTGACGAAATCGCTCTTTAAGCCTCTCAATATCCTCTGAAGTACGGGCACCGGGAGGGCGATGGCTGTTGAGTAACTGTTCGATCTCCTCTTCCGGGATTTTAAACAATTGAGCGATCGTCTCTGCCAGAATCTGCTCCTGTTCAATCTCATCTTGTAGGTCACTTTGCACTTGCTGGAGTTGATCTTGCGTTTCCGAGAGGGCCGCCAATGCCGCATCACGTTCGACAATCGCAGTCGCTGCACTCTCTTCAATTGATTCCTGAGTCTCCTTCACTTCCAGGTACTGAGCGAAGATGACAATCAGCAATAAGTCGAGTAAAGGAGTCAGTTGCAAATTCATCTTGCGAGAAAGAATCATGTTGATTCCTCCTCGGGTGAATTGTTGGCCGCCTGTGAAAAGGCGAGTTCGCGTTTCACTCTGGAAACCGTTTCCCGGACGTGTCGACGATTCTCCGCCAGGCGATTGAATGATGGTTCCAGGCAACTGTTGATGAACATCAACAGCATCGCCGCCACCAACCCCGCAGCTGTTGACCAGATCGCATCGCCAAAACGCCCCAGGATCAAGCCGACGGTTGCGACCGTCTCTTCCGATGCTGTCCCTTGCAAGGCGGCCCCAATTGCCAAAATTGTCCCCAGCACACCAGCGAGTGGATATGCCTCAATCATTGTCCGACCCATGTTGTAGGTCGTTTCAAAGAACATCGAATTCAGGTAGCGACGTTTCTCATCGAGGACGCGCATTCGCTGTAGTAGGGCGCCGCGGTCTGCTTCTCTTCCTTCTTCATCGAGAACATCATTGACGTCAGACAGGAAAGCATCGATCTGATCCGAGAGATGTGCTGTCGAATCCAACAGCGACTGATTCTTTAACCCTCGCGTGAAATCAAACAGTGCTGATGCAATCTTTTTCAGGTCACGCCTGGACCAGATCCACAATACGAAGAAGAGAAACAAATGTGCTCCGCAGACCATGGCAATGATCAATGTCGAGAGTGTCGACAGATATTGCAGAAGCTCGTTCATAAATTCAAATTGCTGGTCCACGGGCATATCCGCCACCGCCCTATCTGATTGTGTAGATGAAGCAAGAAGTGCATAGCGGTAAGAATGAACTACCTTGTTGCATTATGGAATCACGTATCACAACTTTCTAAGTAATGACGTTGAATTTTGGAGAATCTGCGAAAAATCAGAATTATTTCTCGACCGGCTGCTGACTTGCGAACTAGGTATTAGCTGGGCATTCATTCAGCCAAGATCGAAAATATGATTACGCGGATTCGTAGCTCTGCTCGGAACGAGCGCAATGGTGTTGCTCTCGTTGAATTTGCACTGGTCTCCTCACTCTTCGCCATGTTTCTGGCGATGATCATGGAGTTAGGCCATGTCTATCTAGTTATAAATGCGCTGAATGCTTCAGCCAAGCGGGCAGCTCGCTATGGGGTTGTCGAAGGTGTAACGACAGCTGAAGTGCTTGCGAAAGCGAATTCTCTGATTGGATCGACTTTCGCGCCTGCGGAGGCGACGGTTTCTATTCTTGATGGCTCTATCTTTGATAGCGATGGTTACGATGCTGACACTTTTGATTATTCATCTCTTCCCACGATCGAACTGGATGACGCAGAGACGCGTCAACTCTTTGTCGTGCGCGTCAGTGTACCTTACGACGATGTTGCCATCATTCCCCCTTTCTGGATAAAAGGAGTGACTTTATATGGTCAGTCTGTCATGCGGCATGAATAAGGAGATTTTCTAATGCAATGTGTCGTCAGAAAACAAGCACGCACTTTTTCTTCTAAGCGACAAGGAGTTGCAGCGGTCGAGTTTGCGGTGGTCGCTCCTATATTTGTCACACTCATTCTCGGAATGGCCGAGTTGAGTCGCGCGCTCGACGTCTCGACCAATCTAATTTCAGCGGTCAGAGAAGGAGGGCGTCTTGCTTCGATGCATCACAACGGAGCAATCCCGCCAGGAATGACAACCGAAGAAAAAGTGATCCACGACATCAGAAACGTCTTAAAGGCAAATGGGATTGACGGTTCCAAGACGACCTTGACGATCACTCATGCCGAAGGAAGTAATGCAGGTCAAGACTTCGATCTCGATGCTGAAGAGAACTATCTACAAAACTTTCGTATTTCAGCATCGATTGCTTATTCGGACGTCAGCATGTTCCCCCTGAGAGTGATGGAAAACCAGACACTCTCGACATCGATTGTCTTCCGTCTCGGTAAGTCAGACTTGTATGAGTAAGGCTGCTCCGCAATCGAAGCGATTTTTAATTTGGATACATGTCGCGGGCATCAGCAACTTTGTTCATTCAGCTATTGAGATGAAACCATGATTTTACACAACGCGCGATCCAAAATTGTTCAGTTTACCCAGGATGAATCGACAGAACGAAAGGGAGCGTTTCTCGTCCTGTCTGCTTTCTGCCTGACAGGTTGTCTCGTTTTCGTCTCTTTATCAGTTGATATCGGGTTTTTAAATCTCACGAAACAACGCATGCAGAATGCTGTGGATGCTGCTGCACTTGCAGCCGCTCAAGAAATCACAGCAGCTGTCAATAATGCTCCCCCTGAAGTGACTGATGTCACTCAATACGCTCGTGAACAGGCACGCGTCGTGGCAGCTCATGTCGCTGATTTGAACGGTGTTTATGTCAATCCGCAAACAGACGTGCAGTTCGGTCGTCGCTATTTCGATGAAACAACTCAAGAGTTCGAGGTAGAATGGGATGTCACCCCTTCGAACGTTGTTAAAGTTGCAGCTCGTCGAGACCAGGAAGATCATACTCAGCCTGATGGGAAGCTACGTCTCTTCTTTGCCGGAGTAACAGGTGATCGCTTTGCCCGAGTCACGGCAGATGCGATTGCCTATGTGGAGTCGCGCGATATCGTGGTGGTGCACGACTTTTCTCGCTCAATGAACTTTGACAGTTATTACACGGATGAAGCGAATGAACGGCTCAATGATTCACAGATTGAGGACAACATTGAACTCATCTGGAACGATTTACAGATGCCAAACACCGGATCGTTGACCTTTACTCCTCTGCATTTAACAGTTGACGAGACAAGCAATGGTGTTTCAGCTTCGGTGACGTTCAAGTATGACGACTTGACCGTGACCAGTAACGGCGATATCGAAAGCGTCGAAGTCCGCTACGACAATGGCAACTATCAGACCTTCAACAACCTCAGTGGAAATAGCGTCAACATCAATGGTTACCGAGATATCGAAACCGCTTGGGTGACAGCCCGTGGACCTAATACGAGTCAGCCAGTTACTGTCACGAATTCAGGGATTTCGGTGACGTTCTCTGGAGACCGTCGATCTGCTTCGGTTTCTTCGCCAGATCGAATACGAGAATTGTATGTTGGCTTTACCGACGGCTCTGATTATTACCGGTCCTATGGAAGTAACCGACCGTATAACACGACTTACAATGCTTCCAAAGACATTGACTATCTCTACCTGGAAGTCTCAGATGGCCGATCTTTCTGGTATTACTTCAACGCTCCCAATGGAGGCAACGCTGAAGAGTTACGCTTTGATGATACCAATCAGGCGGTGAAAGAGGCCTTTGGCTTGACGAACAGTTATCCCTATCCAGTCGGGAGTTGGTACAGGTTCATTAATCATGCTCGTGATTACGACGAGTTCGCCAGTCGAGGTTATCGCGAAACGTACGGCGGCCTGACGTTGATCAATTACATCATGCGTAATGAATCGGGTCACTGGGAAACACCCGATCTCTGGAAGACTCGCCACTATCCGTTCCACGCAATCAAAGAAGGGCACATGCTTCTCTGCAATTTCCTGAATAATCTCGGATTCGATGATCACATCGGTATGGTCAGCTACGACACTTACCACCGCCAGGAAATGATCTTGAACGAAAGCGATCCCAGCATCCCATACGTTGATATTTCCAGCGAGCCAATCACTGATAACTACACGGCCGTGAAGAATATCATGCAGTACAAGCAAGCTGCTCATTATGCCTATGCCACGAACATGGGGGGTGGCCTCGAAGATGGCATTGACCTACTCGATGATTATTCGAGGGACGGTGCTCGTAAGACAATTTTGCTCATGACAGATGGGAATACCAATACCATGGACTCTGGAGCAAGTTCATCACTCCCTTATGGTTGGAACTGGGATGAACTCTTCGACTACGATGGCGATGGAAGTCGCGACTACTACACCAATTCATCTCAACGCCGTTATGTTCTCAAAGTGGCTCATGAAGCGGTTGAGAAGGGGATCACAATTCACACGATGAGCGTCGGTATCGATGCTGACCGGAATATTATGCGAGCCATCGCCCACTTGGCAGGCGGACATTACATTGACGTTCCAGGCGGCTTCAGTGTCGCTGACATGGAAGCTGAAGTGGAAGAAGCGTTCCACAAAATCGCTTCCTTTGTCCCTCCGGCTAAGTTGATGCGTGAAGACTAAATCTGATCGTCAAATTCAAACAACAGACTCGCCCGATGGACGCTGTTCATCGGGCGAGTTTGTTTTTGTGTGATCAGCAAAAGAGTTGTAGTACAAGGTAAGACTGGGCGACCTTTAGCCATCAACGACTCAGCCAACGCTTCACTCTGGTTTCCTGATCCAAGCTTCGACGACCTCAATCAGAAGCAGCGTGAATATCAGAAGTCGCTTCTGCAAGTTATACTTGTTCACAATTACCAGCGAATAGGAGCCTTGGTGAGAGTCATCCAGGCAATGCGAAAAGATACAAAATATAGCCTGTTGAAATTTGGTTATTGAAAGGGAAGAACTGATATGTCTGAGCCGTTGCCAGAGTCGATTCGAGATGAAGAGCAATTAGAAGAATTGCTCAGCGAGCCGACAGATGGTGCTGTCAATGCCTTAAAGCAAGTCCAAGGGGACATCATCTTGCTGGGAGCGGGTGGGAAAATGGGACCATCTCTCGCCAGAATGGTGCGCCGCGCAAGCGATGCCGCCGGCACATCCAGGCGGGTGATTGCCGTTAGCCGGTTTTCGAATGAGCAACTTCTTGAAAAGTTTGCATGCTTTGGAGTGGAGACAATCTCGGGAGATCTTTTAAACGAAGAGTTTGTTGATTCATTGCCCAATGTTCCCAACGTGATCTACATGACAGGAGCCAAGTTTGGAACCTCAGGAGATGCTTCCCTCACCTGGGCAATGAATGTTTGGCTGCCTTCATTGGTCTGTCGCAAGTATCGAGAGAGTCGCATCGCTGCCTTTTCGACGGGGAATGTCTATCCCCTGGTTCCGATCGATTCTGGCGGGTCCGTAGAGAGTGATCCTCTGGAGCCCGTTGGAGAGTATGCCAACACTGCCGTTGGTCGCGAACGGATGTTTACCTACTTCTGCAATCGCCATCAAAATCCGACCACTCTCGTCCGGCTCAACTATTCCGTGGAAATGCGGTACGGTGTTCTCGTCGACTTGGCCAAGCAAGTCCTGGCAGGCAACCCGATTGACCTTTCAATGGGCTTCGCCAACGTCATCTGGCAGGCGGATGCGAATGCAATGACCATCCAGGCTTTGGCTGATGCCAGTACGCCGCCGTACATCGTGAATGTTGCCGGCCCGGAAATCTTTTCAACCAAAGAAGTCTGCGAACGGTACGCCGAGCTCTTTGAGCAAGAGGTGACGTTCGTTGGTGAACCCGCTCAAACAGCACTTCTCAACAATGGTTCGCAGGGACATCAGAAATACGGCAAGCCGCGAGTCAGCCTGGATCAACTCCAGATCTGGATTGCCGATTGGCTCAAACGAGATGGCACCACCTGGAGTAAACCAACCCACTTTGAAGTTCGCGACGGAAAGTTTTAAGGGCAAGACCGATTCATCGCTTCGTTGTTATCAGCCTCCAAAGCTAACGAACTGCCTGGAATTAATTAACCGCAATAGCCGGAACGCGTTGGCGTCCGGTTACTCAGAACCGTGGGCTAACGCCCAGCGGCTAATCAAAGTTCGACAACTTGTTCATGAACGAATGCTACTTAGTGTTCTCTCGCGAGTATTTGTCTTCAGTCACTAGAAAGAATTCAAATGGAAACAGCACAGTTAAGAAAGTTGCTCTTAGATGGCATGGTCATTCCAGCACACCCACTCGCGCTGAATGAACATCGCCAACTCGATGAGCGACATCAACGAGCGTTGAGTCGATACTATCTCGCAGCGGGATCAGGCGGATTGGCTGTCGGTGTGCATACAACACAATTCGCCATCCACGATGCAAGCGTCGGGCTCTACCGACCAGTGCTGGAACTGGCTGCCGAGGAAATGGCAGCGGTCCAGGATCGTGATATCATCGGAGTGGCTGGTTTGATTGGTGACACTGAACAGGCAGTTGCTGAAGCAGGGTTGGCTCGTGAACTCGGTTATGCTGCAGGCCTGCTCAGTCTGTCAGCGATGGCAGGAGCGACTGAAGACGAACTGATCGACCATTGTCGAGCGGTTGCAGAGGTCATTCCAGTCTTCGGGTTTTACTTGCAAGAGACAATCGGCGGGCTCACCTTGCCTTATCCGTTCTGGAAACGTTTTGTTGAAATCGAAAATGTCGTGGCCATTAAGATTGCCGCCTTCAATCGTTATCAGACAATCGATGTGATTCGTGCTTTGGCTGAATCAGGCCGCAAAGACATTGCCCTTTACACAGGAAATGATGACAACATCTTCCAGGACCTGCTCACCACCTATCGTTTCCAGGGGACTGACACTAGCGAAGTGACGGAACTTCAGTTTTCCGGGGGCCTGCTGGGTCACTGGGCAGTCTGGACAAAACGTGCCGTCGAACTCTTGGAGACTGTCAAGCAAGCGCGTGCAACAGAATCCATCTCAACAGAGATGATGGTCTTAAATAATGAAACAACGGACGTAAATGCTGTTCTCTTCGATGCAGCGAACGAGTTTCGCGGCTGCATCCCCGGTTTATTGGAAGTGCTACGACGACAGGGACTTGTTCAAGGAAACTGGTGTCTCGATGAAAACGAAGTTCTTAGCCCTGGCCAACTAGAAGAAATTGATCGCTTGTATCATTGCTACCCTCATTTGACGGATGACGATTTTGTCAAAGAGCACCTGGAGGCATGGTTGTCTTGAATCGATATGAAGTTTTTTTCGCACGCTATTCATGAGCTTGTTTGCCACGAGTGGCCGTAAAGCACTACTTGCGTAGCTATAGAAAACCTTTCATGTCTATTGGTGAAAGGGAATGCAGCTTCAGCCTCTATAGAAATTATCTATAAACAAATAGCGAAATATCATCAGTGCGGCAGGTTGACAGTAGAGGTATCGGCCCTTATTGTATTCTGACATTGAGATTCAGTCTCAATTCAGCGTAGCCAGCCACCGAAGTTGAGTAGGCAGCCAGCGAAGCTTGATTTGGATGGTCAAGAGAGTGTCTCGTGACCCACATTCTTCATGCTTCAATGGAGGTCTTATTGTGCGCAAACACAATGCTAGTAAAAAGTTCAGTGGATTTACTCTGATTGAATTGTTGGTCGTGATCGCAATCATTGCGATTCTGATTGCTCTTTTATTGCCAGCTGTTCAGCAGGCACGAGAGGCGGCTCGTCGAACCCAGTGCAAGAACAATCTGAAGCAGATTGGCATTGCGATTCACAACTACCATGACATTTACAATCAATTCCCGAATGCGAACTCCGGTGGATTGAACAATTCCAGCTTAAGTGGATCGAGTCTCTTTACGAGCATCCTGCCACTCATTGATCAAGCGAACGCTTATCAGCAGTATGACTTCACGAAAGGGAACACCGACCCGGACAATCAGGCGGTTGTGGGACAGCAATTGCCCTTCTACCTCTGTCCCTCTTCGCCGATCAGACGTCCTGTACCTGGTTGCGATGAGGATAATGGCAGAGCACCGGGGAACTACGCTGTCTGCATCGGCTCGCAGGATTTCAATCAGTATTGGGCCTTCCTGCGTCAGCCGCGTCCTACGCTGAATGGAGCAATCGTCTACACCGACAGCAATCCAGGCAAAACGAAGTTCCGCGATTTCACGGATGGCACGAGCAGTACGCTGATGATTGGAGAAACGGCGTACAATCTGCCCGACTATGCGTTCCGTAGCGGTAACTGCGCAGGGGAATCGCGGTACTCCTTTACATATTGGTCAAACCCCTTCCCCGGCTCAACAGCTTGCACGACTGCCTACGACTTCAATCCTTACGATATCGGAGGAGATAGCCTGTTTGATCCCAATTGGACTCGCTCTTTCCGTAGTGAACACGTTGGCGGAGTTCAATTTACCTTCTCCGATGGTTCCGTTCATTTTCTCTCTGAGAACATTGACGCGAGCCTGCTTGATTCACTTGCAACCCGATCTGGTGGGGAGGTGGTCGGTGAGTTCTAAACCGTTTAAGACTTTTCTGACCACAGGACTGGTCATTGCTGTCTCGCTGGCCAACTTGCAACTGATGGGATGTTCCCGTCGCCCAGATGGTCCTGTCCGTGCGAAAGTCAGTGGAACGGTCAGCTTGGATGAGAAACCTTTGCAAGAGGGTGTGATTCGCTTCATCCCAAACGGCGAAACAGAAGGACCGCAAACAACCATCACCATTGCTAATGGGACTTTTGAGGCAAATGGTGAAACCGCCCCGATCGTCGGGCAGCATCGTATCGAGATCCAATCGACTGACGACGGCGGTTACGCCATGGACGATGAACAGGCAATTCAAAGGTTACGCGAAGCAGGCATTAAAAGAATTGAGGTCGTTCGCGTCCCTGCTGCCTATAACAAAAACAGTACTCTTCTCGCGACGGTCTCAGAAGAGGGGCCTAACAATTACCAATTCGATTTAGTCACTCCAACACAAAAACGACGTTAATCCGGAGTTTAATCATGCTATCATACGAACGACTTTCAAATAAAATCATAGCGGTGACAATCGTTGTCGCAGTCATCATGTCTTCACCAGTTCAAGCCCATTTTATCTGGCTCGCTCCACAACCAAGCGGAGATGTCGTGCAGGTTTACTTTGGTGAAGATGCGTCCCCTGCTGATCCAGAATACCTGAAATATATCGACGGGATGCAAGCCTGGATGCTCAGCGAGAACGGTCAACTCAAACAGCTAGAGCCTCAGCGAACAGAAGAGGAAATGTCGCTGCAACTCAGCGAGAAGCAACTTTCAGGACTCATTCTGGCCAGCCACGATTTGGGTGTGATGGATCGTGGCGACAGCAAGTTTCGCCTGAAGTATTTCGCGAAAACGGGTCCTGCTTCAGGTGCTGAAATCTGGTCAAGTAAAAAGAGCTCTGAAGTTCTGAAGTTAGATGTGATTCCGCAACATTCTGAGGCAGGAACATTGCTGACAGTTCTCTTTAATGGAGAAGCTATCTCAGGTGCTGAATCGACTGCCAGTGGGCCAGGGCTCGATCACTATGAGGAAAAGACGGGCGAATCAGGGACGGTTGTCATTCCAACACACAAAAGTGGATTGTATTCCATACGCGTGAAACATGTTGAGGCGATTCCCGGAGAACTCGAAGGGAAAGAATATCCTGAAACACGCTACTATACCACTTTAACACTTCGCGTGCAGTCCGACTCTTCACAGCTGCCTGAGAGAAACCTCCAGTCACTCAAGCAGCCTGTGACGAGTTTTGGCGGAGCGATTCTGAATGGAAATCTCTACATCTATGGAGGGCACACAGGGGGAGCACATTCCTACGGCTACGATGCGCAGGCACATCACCTTGAGAAGCTCGACCTGAAAACTGGTGAGTGGAGTACCATTGTCCAGGGACCTCGCCTGCAGGGCTTAGCCCTTGTCGCTGCCGGGGACAAGCTGTATCGCATCGGCGGTTTTACTGCGAAGAACAAGGAAGGTGATGATCACGACTTGTGGTCACAGGACAGTGTGGCAGCGATCGATCCAGCGGATGGGAAATGGATCGAGATGCCTAGTTTGCCGGAACCTCGTTCCTCGTTCGATGCCGCCGTATTGGATGGCAAGATCTATGTCGCTGGTGGCTGGGCGATGGCAGGCGAGGCCGACAGCGTCTGGCACCAGACTGCCTGGGTTCTCGACACACAGGCAATTGATCAAGGTTGGCAAGAGTTGGTGACTCCTCCTTTTCAGCGACGCGCCCTCGCCTTAGCTGCCTACAATGGAAAGATCTACGCCATAGGTGGGATGCAAATGGAAGGTGGCCCCACACGTCAAGTTGATGTTTATGACCCACAAACGAAAACCTGGTCCTCGGGTCCTGAGATTCTGGGAGAAGATGGCATGACCGGCTTCGGTTCCTCTGCCTTCGCAACCGGCGGACGACTGTATGTCTCTACCATCAAGGGAGAACTGCAGCGTCTTTCTGAAGATGGTTCAACCTGGGAGATGGTCAAGAAGACGCCGACTCCCCGTTTCTTCCATCGCATGTTGCCCTATGATCAGGAGAACTTGCTTGTCGTTGGGGGGGCATCCATGGAAATTGGCAAGTTCGATGAAGTCGAAGTGATTTCAGTCGAGTAACTCTCGAATTTCAAGAACCAGTCCTGAAACCGATGCAATGGTCTGTTTCCAGGCTCTCAGAGATCAATTGTGAGTTTTAGGATCAGTTCTAAAAAATTCTTCAACCTGTTCTCCTATGATGACGTAGGAGGACAGGTTTTCAGTTTTGCCTTCCTATTCTTAGTTAGAGAATTCTCATGTTGCGTTGGTGTCTGTTCCATCTCGGTCGTAGTATCGCATGTTTATCTGTGGTCAGCATTGCTTTGCATCCATTTAGTCCAATTGAAGCAGGTGAGTCTTGGACATCATTTCAGAATGGGGGTGACTTAACGGTCGAGTCATCCTCTCTGACCGCTGAACTCGCCCCGTTGTGGGAGATCACCCTCATCGGAGAAGGGCAATCGAGCCCTGTGGTCTGGAGTGGACAGGTTTATGTCACTTCGGTTTCAGGAGCGAACAAAGAAGAATGCCATGTGGCGGCATATCAACTCGATTCAGGAGAACGCCTTTGGTCGCATACCTTGAAGAATGCCACTCCACAGGAGAGCAGTAACTATGTCAGTAAAGCTGCTCCCTCTCCAGCCGTCGATAAAAGTGGTCTTTACTGTTTCTTTGAAGGTGGAAATCTCTTGAAGCTCTCACATTCTGGTGAGGTGCTTTGGGAGCGAAATCTCGTGACAGACTACGGCAAGATTGATGCCCGTCATGGAATTGCAGCTTCACTCGAACAAAATCACGATTCTGTTTTTGTATGGGTCGAACGGCAAACAGAGCCCTACCTGATTTCAATCGCGAAAGATACAGGTGAAACCCGCTGGAAGGTTGCCGGCTTGGGAACAACGAGTTGGGCCAGCCCTCGTCTGGTTCCAGTGGAGTCTCAACAGCATTTGGTATTGAGCGGAATTGGAAAACTGGTCGGTATCAATCCTGTCTCCGGTGACCGCTTATGGGAATTCAATGAGATCACCGGCAATTCGACACCAACGCCGATCCCACTCGGAGAGGGGAAGTTTCTTGTCGGCGCGACTGTCGGTCGTGGTGAAACGAATACGGGACGAGCAGCAGAGTCGAACGGAGTGATTGAGATACGGTCTGGAGATGCTGGTGACTGGAAAGTTGACTACCTGTGGCAAGCGAAGCGAGCAACCAGTTCCTTTGGTTCCCCCGTGGCAACCGATGCACATTGCTATTTCGTCAATCGCTCTGGAGTCGCGTACTGCCTGGACAGAAATACCGGTGCTGAGGTCTATGCAGAAAGACTTGGCGGCAGCATCTGGGCAACGCCATTTGTGGTCGGGGAGAACTTGTTCTTTCCACTCAAGGAGGGTAGTCTGAAAGTCGTCAAGCGTGGCGCCGACTACTCTGAACGCGCCGAACATCAGATCTTCACCAAAAAAGCTTCAGATAAAACTCCATTCGGGGGACAAACGCTTTACGCAGCACTTGTGGTCAATTCTCAAATCCTGTTTCGCACAGGAGACCACCTTTACTCATTTGGGCAACCAACGAAGAATTGAAATGCCGGACAGGGCAATGTCATAGGGAGCGTTGTTTAACGCAAAGACGCCAAGTCGCAGAGATGCAATGATTCACTGGAAGAATTCTTTTTGGCTCGTTCCCGAACTCTGCGGAAGAATGAGTTAAGTGAAAGTCTAATAAAGTAAGATTATGTATCAATCCGTTCATAAAGTTCGACCTCAGCGAGGTTTCACGCTGATTGAATTACTTGTCGTCATTGCGATCATTGCAATCTTGATTGCCTTGTTATTGCCAGCTGTTCAGCAGGCTCGGGAAGCGGCTCGACGAACACAATGTAAGAACCATTTGAAGCAACTCGCGTTAGCAGTCCACAACTATGCTGATGTGGCAACAGTCCTGCCTCCAAGTGCGTGCCTGAATCTTTCTGTGACTCAAACGGGCAACAACGGGTCCTGGGGTGTCCATGGGCGTATTCTGCCCTTCCTCGATCAGGCAAATCTCTATAACTCCGTCGACTTAACCGTTGCCTGGGATTTTCAACAGGCGATCAACGGTCTCAAGATTCCGATTTATGCCTGTCCGAGTGATCCGCGTAGCGACGAAGCACGCGATCCGGGCAGCGGCAGACCGATTCTGTACCCGACGAATTATGGCTTCAACTTTGGGACTTATTTCGTGTTTGATCCCACGAACAGTCGCGGAGGAGATGGGGCTTTCTTTCCAAACTCGAAACTGAAAATGGCAGCCTTTACCGATGGAACCAGCAATACTCTGCTCGCTTCAGAGGTGAAAGCCTGGACCGCCTACAACCGCAATGGAGGACCATCTTCCACGACAGTCCCTGCCAACATTACCGAAGCGGAAGCCATCGTGGCCAGCGGAGCACAGTTCAAGAATACCGGTCATACTGAATGGCCCGATGGGCGTGTCCATCATCAAGGTTTTACAACAGCGATGCCCCCCAATGCCAAAGTCACCTGCACCAATGGCGGTACCATTTACGAAGAATGTGATTTCAACTCCTGGCAGGAAGGGAGAGACGGAGCAAACGGAAACCCCAGCTACGCCATTATCACCTCAAGAAGTCACCACACCGGTATCGTCAACTCAGCTCTCGCAGATGGGTCCGTTCGCTCCATTAGCGAGAATCTCGATCTGGGAATCTGGCGCGGATTGGGAACGAGAAGTGGCGGAGAAATTCCGGGTGAATTTTAAATCATCTTGAGATATCGTTCCTGATTCATTTCAATTGAACAATGCTCAGAGAGGTGCCATTAACGCAAGGGCGCAATGATGCAGAGTTGCAAAGAGTGATTAAGAAACTTTGCGTCATCGCGTCTTTGCGTTGAATCAGAAAATTCCGTGAAGAAGAACAAAGGCTCCGCATTCTGTCATTTCAGTTGAGCGATAAGTTTCTGCTTTTCAACTTGTGTCAAATCTCGCCAGTCTCGATCTTCAAGCCCGGCAGCGAGAGCCCACAGCAGGTTCAGACTCACTTCAGGATGATTAGCTCGTACGAGTTCATAGGCCGCAATCGCCCCGACCTGACGTAGTTCCTCTACGCTCTCAATTCCGCTGGCTTGCAACCATTGGCAACTTTTCGGTCCCAGGTTCCGCAATTTGCCGATTGGAGTCTGATGCGTCATGGCTGTCAGACATCCGACGTTTCGAGGAAATTTAACGCAAGGGCGCGAAGTCGCAGAGGTGCAAAGAATAGCTCAGAGTCTGCTTTAACACTTTGCGTCATTGCGACGTTACGTTGTATGATGGATTCCTTCAACGATTGGTCTGGCAAAGTTAAGAAGTTCGTGCTGTTGAGCAGTAAGCAGTCTCTCGTCCTGTCGCGTTCAATCAACACTGTAAATTGCAACTCCTCTTTTCACAGTGACCTTCGGAATTCTCTCTTCTGTAGCAAGTTGCATGTAACCGACTTCACTAATGATCTGCCAGTTGCCATTCTCGTCCCTGGTAAGTGGTTCGTTCGTCCAGACTACTGGGATGGTCCCTGCTTCAAAAACTTGCAGAAAGAAATCCGTAAAATTCATGTCAAACTCAAATGGGTGACCAGCTTCAGTGAACACAACAATCGTCCAACTTTCTGGAGGTCCATCGATTAACCAGCAGTATTGATATCCAAAAGCATCCCCTCCCATAGGATACAAACCTGGTCGCTTCGGGAAAGCTGCCCATTCTTTATCACCAGTCTCTGCTGGGTACTCTTTGGAAAGTCTTTCATAAAACTTGCAAGCATCGAGGTTTCGGCTTCTCAAATAATTTGAATAAAATGGATTCTTAATAGAAATGTCATCTAGTAATTTGACACTTCCGTAAACTGCTATGTAATCCTTAAAATCTTGTGGAAATTCTATACCTAGCGTGTCTTGAACTGGTTCCCACAACCTTGGTGGACCACCATGATGAACTCGCTCTGGTCGGGGAATATATTTTTCAAATGGATGTTTTTTCTTTCCCATGGTTGAGTCTCTGCATGATCAGTTCTGGTTGTCGCTTCACCAGGAGAGTTCGGCGTTTTTAGCTCTTCGCTAGAATCTCATGCAGCACTGTGGGCGGAGACATCGGCAGGGTTTGCATTCTGACTCCAACAGCATCGCTGATGGCTGCGTTGAGAGCTGCGGGGGGTGGGCAGATGGGGACTTCACCGACGCCGCGGACACCATAGGGGTGGTCGGGATTCGGGACCTCGACGATGATCGTCTCGATACTGGGCAGGTCGTAACAGGTTGGCATGCGGTAATCGAGGTAGTTGGCGTTGGTCAGCAGGCCATCGGCATTGTAGATGTACTCTTCGTTCAAGCCCCAGCCGATTCCCTTCGCGCGACCCCCCCTTGCATTTGTCCTTCGACATAGGCGGGATGGATCGCAGTCCCGGCATCCTGAGCGGCGGTATAGCGGAGGATCTTGGTCTTCCCGGTTTCAGGGTCAACTTCGACATCGACACAATGCACACCAAAGGCGTTACTCGATGCGGGAGCACTGATGCTGGCGGAAGCTGTGATCGACTCGCCGGTAGCGATGATCTTATTCGCCAGTTCCTTAAAGGTGATCTCTTTGCCATCAGGACCGGCGATGGTTCCGTTGTCTTCGTAACGCACGTCGCTCGTTTCGCATTCCCAGATGCGGGCAGCACGTTCACACATCAGGTCTCGAATCTTGAGACCTGCTTCATGGACAGCCATGCCGGTCGCTAATGTGACTCGACTGCCGCCGGTGACGTCTGTGTAACCGACGCTATCGGTGTCTGCGACGGTTGGCTGCACATCTTCGGCGGTAATTCCCAACGTCTCAGCGAGCTGCATCGACAACGATGTTCGCGTGCCCCCGATATCGGTTGAGCCTTCAATGAGGGAGACCATTCCGTCGGTATTGACGTTGACTGTGACGGAGGATTTCAGCCCTGCATTGAACCAGAAACCGGAGGCGATGCCCCGTCCCTGGTTGGGACCTTCTAGCGGAGAGTTGTAGTGTTCACTCTGTTTGATCGCTTCCAGACATTCCACCAGGCCAATCCGTGGATAAACCACACCATCGACCCGGCGGGTCCCTTCTTTGGCAGCGTTATCGATGCGGAACTGAAGTTTGTCGATATCCAGCTTTTCTGCGACTTCATCAATTACAGCTTCAACAGCAAAGGCCGCATTCGTAGAACCGGGAGCACGATAGGCGTTGGTCCGTGGTTTGTTCACACAAACGTCATAACCTTCGACACGCGCATTCGGGATGTCATAGCAAGAGAGGATGCACATGCAGCCGGGGTTGATAGGCGAGCCGGGATAGGCACCCGCCTCATAAGCGAGATAGGCATCCGCTGCGATGATTTTCCCGTCGGAACTAGCACCTATCTTGACCCGGATATAAGAACCGGGAGTCGGCCCAGTTGACTGGAAAACATCGGTACGGTTCATCGTCACTTGCACAGGCCGGCCGGACTTCTTCGACAGCATGACAGCGACCGGTTGTTCATAGACGGAGATCTTCCCACCGAAGCCACCGCCGATCTCAGTAGGAACAACTTTGATCCAGGTCAGTGGAATTTCAAGAAGTTCCGCAACCTGTTGACGAACGGTGAACGCCCCTTGGGTGCTCGTCCAGATCGTGCAGCGGCCATCGCCATGCCAGAGTGCTGTTGATGTATGTGGTTCTATGTAACCCTGATGGACGGTCGCTGTGCGGAATTCTTTCTCCACTACGACATCGGCCTTAGCAAAGGCATCGTCAACGTCGCCCTGATCGTACAGGAACTTTGCAGCCACGTTGGAAGGTTTCTCACCGATGACTTCCCCGAACTCGACGGTTTTCACATCTTCATTGAGAACGGCGGCTGAATCTTCCATCGCTTTGAGGACATCCAGTTCAACAGGAAGTGTCTCAAACTCGACTTTGATGAGTTTGGCGGCCTCTTCGGCGATATGGATATTGTCTGCGGCCACGGCGGCGATGGGGTGACCATGGTAAAGGACTTTATCCTTGGCCAGGATGTTGCAGCTGAGGTGTCTTAAATTGACAGACCCTTCGCCCAGCTCGGCAATACGGTCCGAGACATCAGGCATATCAGCGTGAGTTGCTACGGCATGCACACCGGGATAGTTCTCTGCCTCGGAAGTGTCGATGGAAATGATCTTCCCATGGGCAATGGGACTGCGGAGGATAAAGCCTTGCAGCATTCCAGAAAGACGGACATCAGCCCCGTAGATCGCACGGCCGGTGACTTTGTCGGCACCATCGTGCCGAACGGGACGTGTGCCGATCACGTTGTATGATCGGTCATGATGTTTCAGAGTGGTTGAACCGTTACTTTCAGACATCTCAGTGCTCCAGATGATATTGCCAACAGCTTGGTTTTATGCGGCAATGCGATACGACGCAACCAAGTTGTGAAAATCAATGATATTATACTGACTCCGCCTGAAACGAACTCTCCGTTCTGGGTCTGGATATCTCATCAGAAGCGACGTTCAGGGGCATCACATTCGCCAATTTTCTACTTAGAAGGTTACGCATCATTCCCAAGCGTTGTAGAATAATCGCTGGGAACTCCTAACAAAACGATCAGCCGAAACGCGTTAGCGTCCGGTTTGCGAGTCAAGAACTGTGGGCTAACGCCCAGCGGCTGATGTGGCAAACCGGTTTTAGTAGGACTTCTAAGTCTTTCTTCAAACATATTTTTTTAGTGTCATCATCGTGCGTTTTCAAAAAGATAGCTCGCCACCGCCGTATCTCAACCGCAAAGACCAGTATCGCTTACTTGGTCTGGTTGGCATGCTGACCATCATTGCGCTTTCCATCGACTTTACTCGCAAACCTGAAAACTGGCAGTGGTTCTTTTCCGTTGGGCAGGAGCCTGTTGAGGAAATGGAGCTGAAGGAACTCTCGCTGGATGATCTCGATTTCACGGTTAAAGAACCGACTAACGGAGAGCTTCCTCCCGAGACTTTCATAGCAACGACAGACGTAACGCAAAAGATTGACCTCAACCAATTGGGCCTTGATGTTCAGCGCGTCCCACCGGAACTGCTGGAAGGTGTTGAAGACAAACGCCTCGGCCTGTTGCGCAGTGAGCAGGATGCGATGGATCGAGTCCTGCAACGGGTGAGAACCTTCAGCTTGGAAGAACTGCAAGAAGCTGCCGTTTCCGATGTCGGGTTTCGAGTTGTCTTTACTGACGCGGCCAGCTACCGGGGACAACTGATTAAAGTTGAAGGGACACTGTGGCGTTTGCAGCGATACGCCTTCGGTGAACGTGACTCGGAAGAAGATGATCTCTGGCAAGGCTGGTTCTTCAGTTCCGACTCAGGCAACAATCCCTGGGTTGTCTTCATGACAGAAAAACCTGAGGGGATCGAACCGGGCGAGTCAATCAACCGGGATGTGAGCGTGGCGGGTTATTTCTTCAAGAACTACGGCTACGCCACTGGCGAAGGCCTGCACATCGCTCCCATGTTGATTGCTAAATCGCTGACAGTTCAACCGCTGCCACCGGTCGTCGATCAGAAAACGGAAGACCTCAGCTTGTATGTTTTCTTCTTCCTGATGGCAATCATGCTCATCTTCGGAATCATGGTCTGGTTCTTCGTCCGCAGCGACCGCAAATTCAACCAAAGCCACTTAGCCGAAATCGCTGAAGACCGACACCAACTCCCAGATAACTTCGTTCACGATCTGAGTGGACAGAAACCAAAAGACCCCGGCCAGTTGGTGTTGCCTGATGAGATTGAGAAGTAGCTCCTGTATTCTTCTCGATAGCTAGTGATGAATGAAGAACGAATTACTTCTAAATCGTTGAACAGAAGGGGTTTGCTGAGAACAGTCATTAATCTCCTAACAGCCTCAACTATAGCTACCGTGCTCTACTTCACAATTCTTGTGACAGCGTGGAAAAACATCGGCAGTGATTGGTATGTTTTTCCTGAAAGATTTCATACGGCAAAGTATCTCGCAGAAGCTACTGGTGCCATTAAAGTATTTCAAGAGGAAAATAAAACGCTGCCTGATTCTTTGCCAGAGGCATTCTCAGTAGTAGAAAACCATCCGTTCATGAGGAATGAGAGATATTCCAATCATAAGGACGGCTGGGGAAATCCTTTCCAATACCAAAAGCAAGGAGATGAGTTCGAAGTCTGGTCTTTAGGTATGGACGGAGAAGTTGGAGGAACGGGACTCAATGCGGATGTCTACCCCGACTCACGAAATGCAGAGATAAGCCAGCCAACTTTTCAGCAGTTCTTTCTAGAAGGTAACGGTATGCAGGGAATCGTAGATGAGGGAGCCTGGTTTTCCTTGGTTGTTGCAATTCTGCTGTTTGTAGCTCTTAATCGTTCAGTTGATCCAAACTGGTATCGAGCGGCCCAAGTCTGCTATTCAATTTTTGTCTGTATTGTAGTATTCATTTTTGCTCTCGTTCTTGGTGTGATTCTAACTCCGTTACACATCCCTTCAGGACATTAAACTTGTTCCGCTATTTGAGGGACCCGCTCTTTTTCTGTTGCTTCATTCTATATGTAGCAAACCGGTTGATTTTGAAACCTGCTTTCGAGGTAGCATTTTTTCATCGCTATTTGAACGACTTAATCTGTGTTCCTTTTCTTGTTCCGATCATGTTGTTTGTGTTGCGAAGATTGAAGTTGCGCGATCATGATCGGCCTCCACAAATCCACGAAGTCGTGATTCCTGTCCTTGTCTGGTCAATCCTTTTTGAAATCTTACTACCACATCATCCCTTTTGGTCACGGTGGATGTTCAGCGATCCTTATGACATCTTTTGCTATGTGCTTGGGGGAGTCATCGGGTATGTGTATTGGAACCGAACAATCTTCCGTTGAGAATCTTTATCTCGACGCTCTCAAATCTCAATCTTTGCCCCCAATGCCTTGGCAAACTCGGCGATCCAACTGGGGTGAGCGGGCCAGGCGGGGGCGGTGATGAGGTTACCGTCGACGTGTGTTGAAGTGACTTCGAGATCTACATACTTTCCGCCAGCGAGGGTCACTTCTGGACCGCATGTAGGGTAAGCGGTGCAGCTGCGGCCGGCCAAGACTCCGGCAGCGGCTAACAGCTGTAGACCATGGCAAATGGCTGCGATCGGTTTGTTCGCTTCTGCAAAGTGCTGAACGACTTTGATCACGTCATTGTCTAACCGCAAGTACTCAGGCGCTCGTCCCCCCGGGATCACCAGACCTGCATAGGCTGCCGTGTTGATCTCGCTGAAGGTGGCATTCAACGTAAAGTTGTGGCCTGGTTTCTCGCTGTAGGTTTGGTCCCCTTCGAAGTCGTGAATGGCTGTCTTGATGGTCTCACCGGCACTCTTCCCCGGGCAAACGGCATCGACTTGATAACCGAGCATTTGCAGCATCTGAAACGGGACCATGATTTCGTAGTCTTCCACGAAATCGCCAGCGACAAGAAGGATTTGGTTCGACATTGATATTTCTATCCGGTTAGTGCAGAGCTGAGTTGAGAATTATGTTTCAGCAGCACATTATGGTCACGGACTTCGTGAGTCTCAAGGGGTTCTACACCCAACGCATACTTAGCCACTGGTGAATCACCAGTCGGAATGGACAATCCACTTCTATTTCGCTCTAGAATCGATATCTTCAATCGATAAGTCCTTTGTTATAGGAAGCTTCGAAATGATGAAAGTGTTCGTTTTGGCATTGTTTGCTCTCTCGTCAATTCTGGTCGCTGAAGAAAAGTCGGTCGAAGAAGCGATTCGTTTTCTTCCGAGTGGATGGGAGTATTCAGCCCCGCTCATCTCACCAGAAGAACGCGAGACCGCTCAATCACATGCACAGAAAGACCCATCGGTGGTCTTTCACGATGGGAAATGGCATGTCTTTATGACGGTTAAATTGCAGGGCAGGTCTGTGATCGAACATTGCAGCTTCAGCAACTGGGAAGAAGCGAATGAGAGTCAGCGGACGTTACTCCAGGTGAGTGAACAAGACTATTTCTGTGCCCCGCAGGTCTTTTATTTTGAGCCACACAAGTTGTGGTATCTCATCTATCAGGTCGGTGTGCCTGGGCAAAACAAAATGTGGGTTGCATACTCAACCAATGCGAACATTGATGATCCGCATTCCTGGACCAAAGCAAAACCAATTCTCGATGGTGGTCCCAACGATCCACGCGACAAAGGAGGGCTCGATTACTGGATCATCTGTGATACCGAGCATGCCTATCTTTTTCTGACGACGAACAATGGGAAAATGTGGCGCCTGCGCACCAAGCTGGAGGATTTCCCGTTGGGCTTTAGGGACTACTCACTGGCACATCAGGGCAACATCTTCGAGGCGAGTCACATTTACAACTTGAAAGGAATAGACAAGTACCTGTTGCTGATCGAAGCGAACGGGCGCCGCTATTTCCAGGCGTATCTCGCAGATCGATTAGACGGCGAATGGCAGCCACTCGCAAATACTCCCCAGAACCCTTTCGCGAGTTGGAAAAATGTCCGACCGGCACCGGGAGTTGAGCCCTGGACCGACAACATTAGCCATGGTGAACTAATCCGCGATTCCAGCGATCAAACGTTGACCGTTGATCCCGATCAGCTGCGTTTCGTGTTTCAGGGAATGTGGGACAAAGATAAGAGAGGCAAAGGCTACGGTGCCTGGAACTGGCGGATCGGAATTTTGACTCCTACAGAGAGCAAATGACTCAATTCCAATCCGCAATGACTCTTTTCCAAGCAGCGAGGAGTTCCGCTGAGTGACTTTGTAAATGAAATCGGTCACAGATTTCGCGACGTGACTTGATAGCTCGCTGGCGAGCCTGATCTGGTGCAGTCAGAATAGCAGCCATTGACTCAGCTAACTCGACAGGAGATGCCGGCGGGACCAAGATCCCTGTTTGATGATGTCGGATAATCTCCGAAGTCCCTCCGACATTAGTTGCGACAATCGGAGTTTCGCAGGCCCCTGCTTCCAGGAGGACGCGTCCCAATGGTTCCTGCTTCGCCGGATGAACAAGTAAATCAATCTCACGATAGAGCTCCGGCATGTCGTTCACGTAACCGAGGCGGTGCAAACGGTCACCGATTCCGGCATTGTTGAATGTCTCATCGATTCGCTGATCGAACTCGATGCTCTCTTGTTTGGTGGAATGTCGCTCGCCGACAATCAAGTAGTGGACATCAGGGAACTGATCCTGCAAGAGTACGGCAGCCTCTGCCAAGTCTGTTTGCCCTTTTCTGAGACAGATTTGGCCGACCGTGGCGACCAGACGAGCTTCTTCAGGCAGATTCAGCGTACGGTGCCAGTGTTTTGTTTTCGGTCCAGGTTTGAAGACCTCGCTGTCGATGCCATTATAGAGTCGTTGAATTCTCTCTTGATCAATTCCCTGCTCAATATGATACGAGGCCGTGGCATCTGAGACAGCCAGGAGCAGAGAATGCGTATTCAGATCGCGGATGGCAGATTTCTTCAGCGACATCATATCCCGGATGTGGCTGCTCGTAGGGATATTCAAGTGAGATGCGATGCGCCCCAGGTGCCGCCCCATGGTAAGGCTATTCGCATGTAGTAGTTGCAGTTCTGATCGAAGGCAATGGCTGATGAGCTTCGCAGCGAACTCTTCAGATGCGATACGTTGACCACTCTCGTCATAGAGTGGGTTTTGCAAACAGGAAATGCACATTTGCTTTAATTGCGAATGTAAAGGGCTGGCCAATGGAAGCAGAGCAACAAATTCGACGTCAACTTTGTGTACCCTACTCATGGCAGCCAGTATGGAATGTTCGCCACCATTGAGGCTGCCATATTCAAACAAGACACCAACCTTGATCATGATTTCTTCAAGGTCAAAGTCGAACCACGTTCAAATTTTTGATGTTCCTGGCTATCAAAATCATCGAGCGCTCGCTGCAAGCCATCTTTGATTTCTTGCAATCGCTCAGCGGTGCGAATTCTTTTTCCATCTTGCTCCTGAACGTAGAAGACATCGATCACCTGATCGAAATGTGTCGAAATTTTTGCCATGTCAATGGAGACATGCATGTCGTACAGAGCTAGCGTCAAGGTATAGAGCAACCCTGGTCGATTTGTGGCGAAAACATCAAAGATGGTCCGACTGTCAGAGGAGTCATTGTCAATTTTGACAAGTTGTGGAAGTTCAGAAACCGGGTTTGCATTCGTCGTTGACCCAAAGCGGGAATTGCGAATGAAGAGTTCTTCAACGGATGTTTCACCAGACAGAACTGAGCGTAAAGCATTTGCGATTTCATCGACGCGAGACTGTGGTGGTTCATCCGTGTAATCAGGATCGACAACGCGATAGCTATCAATAATGATCCCACTGGCAGATGTATTAATGTCGGCTGAGAGGATCTCAAGTCGTTTGGCGGTGAGTACACCAGCCATTTTGTGGAAACAGCCCGACTGAATCTCTTTTTCAGCGGAGACAACGCGGTATTCCATGGAATTGGTCTGCTCATCCCAACTGGCAATGACCTCGACCCCTTTGTCGCTGATTCGTTCCATGATCTGCAAGTCATCAGCAATTTGCTCAGGTGGGGTGCAGGTCAAATAGTAGGCAGAAAAACCAGCAAGTTGCACAGTGACCCAGTCGAGTGTTCCTTTATCTTCTCCTCTCTCAGCGAGGCACTTGGTGACTTTGAGGCGTGTCTCCTGAATACGTTGTTGTTCATCGTAGACGTAGCGTTTTCCGCTCAGAATGACGAGGCAGCGATCGAAGAGTTCGGTCAGCAGGTTTGCCTTCCAGCTGGTCCAAGTGCCTGGACCAACTGCTGAGACATCTGCGATTGTCAAGGTATAGAGCATTCTTAAGACATCAGGTGACCCGATCTGTCGGCAGAAATTGACCAGCAGTTCGGGGTCGGTAATGTCACGACGGAAAGCGATGTCAGCCATTACCAAATGCAGTTTCACCAACAGCGAGACCTGCTCGATCTGATAAACAGGCATGCGTAATCTCGTGCCGACTTCGATCGCGATGTCAGCTCCGATCTCACTGTGATCGCCTCCCATTCCCTTGCCAATGTCATGCAGAAGGACCGCCAGGTGTAAAACTTCCTGATGGCGAATTTCTCGATAAGCCGCCCCGGCCGGTCCCTGGTCTTCTTCAAATCGCGTTACTGCTTCAACAGCTCTCAGTGTGTGTTCATCGACTGTGAAGTGATGGTATTGGTTAAACTGCAACAGGTCTCGGATGTGCGTCACTTGCGGGATAACTAGATCGAGCAATCCTGTTTGAAACATACTGCGCAAGATTGGGCCTAAGGCCGATTTGCATTTGAAAATTTCAATAAAAGATTTCGCTGAACGTTCAGAGAGCTCGTCTGGCGAGTCAGGTAAGTGATCTTTAATGGCTTCAGCAATCTTGGGAGATGGCAAGACACCATAAAGTGCAGCCGCTTTGTAGAGCTGCAACATTGATTCGACATCCCGACAGACGCGGTCTACATAGCGGTCCGCAACTTCAATACGATCTGAGCCAACATAGAACATCCCTTCAGCACGGTGTCCGATGACGACATCACGTGTTTTCTCTGCCAACGTTCGTGGACGCTCGATAGCGACAAATCTCCGGGTGATGGCAGCTAAACTGGAACTGTAATGAAAATACTCCTGCATAAACTGCTCGACAGGACGTTGTTTGTCGCTGCCGGTGTAACCTCGTTCTTCAGCGATGCGTAACTGCTCATCTTTCGTCAAGCGATCCTGTTCGTCTCCATCGCTGAAGTGCAGGTCGATGCGGAGTCGGGTTAAGAATTCCCAAGCCTGTTTCAGGCTGCGGGCATCTTCTTTTGAAAGAGCCCCTTTCAGTCTTAAAGAGTCAATGTCTTTGACACCATAGCGGGCATAACCGATCCAGCGAATCAGGTGCAAATCGCGGAGGCCGCCTGATGATGATTTGATGTCAGGTTCCAGTTCTTGGGCAGGCGGTCCATATTCGGACCAACCTTCCTGGCGTGCTTCCAAGCAACCTTCAATAAACTTGCGGCGACGAGAGAAGAGGACTCGCTGTTTGAATTGTGTCACTAAACGGTCAAAGAGTGACTCATTCCCCCACAGGAAGCGAGCTTCAACAAGAGGGGTTGCAATTTGTGGGTCTTGACGTGCGAGTGTGATGCAAGTTGCAACATCGCGGACGGAGTGTCCCAATTGAATTTTTGAATCCCAACAGTTTTGTACAAAAGTGTTGACGAACTGGTTGAAATCAGATGTTCCACTTTTTTCTTCGAGGAAGAGCAGATCGATATCAGAATAGGGTGCCATTTCGCCGCGACCAGTCCCTCCGATGGCGATCATCGCTCCCTGTTTCGGGATCAGTTTGGCTTGTTCTTTCGTAAAACCGGCGAGAGTTTCAGCAGCAAGAGATTCCAGAAATTCATCGAAGCTGCTGCTGATCATCGAGGCAATCTGGAGTCCCGGAATACCACTATCGAAGAGTTTTTTCGCCTTCTCCCTAATCTGTGCAATATGCAACTTGCGTGAGTTGATTAACTCTATCGCAGTAGGTGAGTTCATGATGGGCGTAACCTTAATTACAAATTGATACGTCGAGGAGTCAGATTGAATCGCGTGGATTCAAAATTCAAGCTCAATTTGCGTTTCTTATGTAGATTTCGCCAATCACTTTAGGGAAAATTGCCAAGCAAAGGCATTTCAATTTGAATTGTTAGTGAAATGATGTAGTTCATTCAAAAACAAAAAATACAGGCGCCAAGCAACTAGCGGTAACGGACCTCAGTCAGCAAAGGCCCGCTTAAGAAATGTGGCTCGTGAACATTAACGAGTGGGCTCATTCTCCACGCATGGATCGGCATCATTTGTATCCTGCCGAGCTTGTTGCATGAGAGCCTCATAGACTTCGCTGCGATGAATGGGTACTTCTCTCGGAGCCTGTATCCCTAACCTCACTTTGTCACCACGGATCTCCACGACCGTAATGACAATGTTTTCATCGACGACGATGCTCTCGTTTTTCTTCCTCGAGAGAACCAGCATGTCTGTGCACCTTTAAAAGATTCGTTCTTAACTGGTGATCAGATTGTTGAAAAAGTTCCTTCAATCCCAATTCGAAACAACTGAACACTTGACATGCTAGACTTGCGTCGATAGGGCGTCAATGAGTCATTTTGTAAAATTTACCGAAAATTCCAATAGGACAATGATTTACGTCGATTTCTCTTGCCTATTCTGACTGGCCTTCTCGAACTGAGTGAATTACTGGCTGGCTGTATCTTCTTTATTGTCAATAGTTTCCGGCTTTAGCAGCGGGAAGTAGATGATATCTCGGATTGTCTGGCTATTCGTGAGGAGCATGACCAGTCGGTCGATTCCGATTCCTAAACCACCCGCGGGAGGCATCCCGACCTTGAGTGCGGAGATGAAATCGCGGTCCATTTTCGCCATGGAATCTTCCTCGGAGAGACCACTTAACTGAGTCAAGAAAAGTTCTTCCTGTAGTTTTGGATCGTTCAATTCAGTGTAGGCGTTGGCGAGTTCCATTCCGTGGATGAACAGTTCAAAGCGTTCTGCGATCGCGGGATTGTCTTGCTTCCTCTTTGTCAATGGGCAGATTGATGCCGGATAATCGATCACAAAAATCGGGCCGACCAAAGCATCTTCGACACAGGCCTCGAAAACTTCGCTGACAATGACATCGGGATGGACATCGGATGAATTCATTTGTGCAATGAACTCTTGCTGTATCTCCCCTTGCTGTGCCAGTTCCTGCGCCTTTGCTCGCACACCATCAACATCTGTCATTTCACAGCCAGCATACTCAGCGAAGAGCTCTGCATATGTCCGTCGAGGCCAGGGCGGTGTGAAGTCGATCTCTTTCTCGCCCCACGGCAGCACCAGGCGACCATCTTCTGGCAGTTGGCCTGACTTTTCGAGCACGACTTTGGCTGCGTCGGTGACAATCGCTTCGGTCAGGTCCATCATCGACTCGTAGTTGCCGTAGGCTTGATAGACCTCAATCATCGTGAATTCAGGATTGTGAGTCGCGTCGATTCCTTCGTTGCGGAAGACACGTCCAATCTCATAAACGCGTTCGATGCCGCCCACCATTAATCTTTTCAGGTGGAGTTCCAATGCGATCCTCAAATAGAGGTCGATGTCGAGTGCATTATGGTGTGTTGTAAAGGGACGGGCAGCAGCTCCACCAGCAATCGCATGCAACACAGGGGTCTCGACCTCAACGAACTCTTGCTCGCGCAGTGTCTGTCGGACTGAATCAAGAATCGTTGAGCGGAGTAGCAAGGTGTCGCGTACTCCAGCTGTGTAGATCAGATCTAATTCACGGTGCCGCAGCAACGTTTCGATATCTGTGACGCCGTGGTGTTTTTCGGGTGGTTGTGTCAGAGACTTACAGAGAACAGTTAAGTTCTCGACCCAGACGGAAACCTCTCCTGAGTCAGTGCGGCGCATCGCCCCATCGATCCCGATGAGATCACCCAGGTCAAGTTGGCCCATCAACTCCCATTGTTCTGGAGAAAGGTCCCCGCGAGAGAAGAGCAGCTGGATTTTTCCCGTTGCATCTTCGATGTCGAAGAAGCGGAGTTTACCTGCCTTGCGTCGAAGCATGATTCGGCCCGCGACACGTACCTTCTCTCCATTGACTCCACTCTCTTCCGGGCACTTGGAGCGGGCATCGGCAATCTTAACAAGATCATCAAAGCGTTGACCAAAAGGATCATGCCCCAACTCTTTGATCTTGGACAGCTTATCAAGTCGAGCCTTCTCAAATCGGTCTATCTTTTGTGGCTTTGCCATAGTGCTAGAGTTTCCAGTTTTTGCTTCTCAAATTATCTGAAATTGGCAACGAGTTATCGAAAGAGTTCAAAATATCGGCTGACAAAATTGAATGGATTCGCGTGTCATAACATCTCGGCAATATCGCAATTTCTTTAGCCTTAACAAAACCTGATTGCCACATTAGCCGCTGGGCGTTAGCCCACGGTTCTTGACCCGGAACCGGACGCTAACGCGTTCCGGCTGATAGTTTTGTCAGGAGCTCTAAGTCAAGTTGACTTCCAATGGCTCTGCCCCAATCGTTAAGACGGTGACACCTTGCAATGTATTCCGGTTCAGAAAGTCAATAATACGTTCGACGGACAGCCCTTCAACCTCGGCATGGATTTCATCCAGCGTTTTGACTCGCTGTAGATGAAACCAGTCGCGTGCTATGGAACCAGCTCGGGAGGCTGTCGATTCCTGTTGCATAATCAATGAACTCTTCGTACGTGCTTTGCAGCGACGAAGTTCTTCATCATCGATGCCCTTTGCCAGTTTTTGAATTTCGGCCAGTATGACATCTAACGTTTCTTGAGCACGTTCTGTGGTTGTTCCCGCATAAGCGAAGACACGTCCTTCTTCTAAGAGGCTGTTTAAGGTGGCATAAACTGAGTAACACAGTCCACGCTTCTCTCGAACTTCGGTAAACAGACGCGAACTACTTCCCCCACTCAAGATGCTGATCGCGGCCCAAGCTGTCAGGTAGTCTGGATGGCTGTAGGAAATGGAATCATATGCAATCCCAATATGTGTCTGTGCCGACTCGTGATGAATATGGTGTATGCCTCTCTTGCAGGGAGTTCGCTCGATCTCTCGGTCTGGCAAGGCGGCCCAGTCACCGAATAACTTATCAACTTGAGAGAAGACTTCGTCCGGATCGACATTTCCAGCCACACCAATCATGGCACCATTCGGGCGAACGTTTTGTTCCGTGAAATCAACGAGTGACTGATAGGAAATTTTCTGGAGGTCAGCGATGCGACCATCTGTAGCACGCCCCCAGGGGTCGTCATAACAACGTTCGCGTAACTCGACGAACACTTTCCGCTGTGGTTCATCTTCGATAGAGAGCAGAGTCTGCACTGCGCTATTCATGACAGCGGGGAACTGATCTTCGGGCATCACTGGCCGCCGAATGAGATCAGCATAGATTGGTAATGCTTCTAATAAGTTTTCAGCGAGTGTCGCTCCAGAGAAGGAAAGAAAGTTCCAACCGACATTTTCGTTTGCCTGGACCCCTAAAAAGTCGAGAGCAGAAGTCAGTTGCCGACTATCAAGATCTCCGGCTCCTCGTGTCATCAAATCCAGAGCAGCAGCGGCTGTTCCATTTTCACCAGCTGGCTCATAGATCGTCCCTGCTGGAGTGAGAATAGAAAATGCAGCTGACTGCACATGCTGCATCCGTTCGACGAGCAGAGTCAGGCCATTCTCTAATTGATAAGTATGGATGGATTGCGCGGGCATCAGGTTCCGTACGTCTTGCCAGAAAAATAGTTCAGTAATGATTCAACACAACTGTAACTGTCGGGATTCATATAACCTGACTTAGAGCGAATTGCAAAACAGTGTTTGCGATCTGTCTCGTGGATTGGCGTTTTCGTTGAGATGAAAGACGCCCGTCGCGGACACATGGTAGAGCAAACTGCTCTAGGTCAGACCATGGCAGAGTGTAGGAAACCGGGAAAGCAATTTCGAACAGATGGGGGTGTTCTCTGTTTTTGGAACCGTTATGTGCAGGCTGGGCCTATTTTGTTGCCACAGGAGCACCAGAAATACGCTTCAATTGAGTGACGAGGTAGAGCGGTTTACCGAGAGGATCTTTGATGATGGGATCGATTTCTCCCTGGACCTCGACAATTTCCCCTTCCTTCATGTTACTGAGAAAAGGACTCGTGGCGAATGAGAGATGGCCAGCATACTTATCTTCAGCTGAGGGATTGTCGGAATAGACAATACTCCAGGTGTCCGTTGGTTTGTCGTGGCTGACAACACCGCGGAGCCAGGCATAGTTGCTGTCGTGGGCGAAGACCTTTGTCTCTCCGAGGACTGGCTTTTGAGTACGAATATTACTGATATTGTCAAAGGCCGGCATCGCCGGTGGAGTTGAATTGATCGATGGTGACGGAACAGGCGACTTAAAAGGATCAGCACCTGAATTGACCGGGGGAATTTCGCCAGCTGGAGGAAAGCTATTGCTCGGAGCCACTGCTGGAATCTCATTCACGCTGTTGATGTCGATCGCGTTATTCATCGGAGGCGATTCAGGAAAGGCATTCGCTGGGGGGCTGTAAGACTCAGTAGGGCTCGTGACGCTCGTTGCAGCGTTAGATTCTCTCAGGTGATTGTTAATCGACTGAATGGGCTCTTGTTGGTGTGTCGCAGGTTGGATGTCTCGCGCATCGATAGGTGGTTGAAACGTGGAAGTATTGCTGTTGTTGTAGAAGGGGCCACCTGCAGGGCTGGATGGGTCGGGAACCGGTTTGTTGATCTCAGTTGAAGAATAAGGAGGAGCGTCGGAGCTGGCTCCATTGTTCGGAATCGGTTGCAAGCCGCCATTGTTGTTCTGATACGTCGGCGTTGTCCCACCAGGGTAGACTCCCTGCGGAGTGACACTTCCCCCTGGGATATATTGCTGCCCCGGTTGCAGCGTTTGAGTCGGGACACCATAGCCTGGGTATTGCTGGTAGCCTCCTTGATAGGGTGTTCCATACGGATTCCCACCA